CCCTCTCTGAAATATAGCATAATTTACATTGGAAGGGACCTCTGCATGTCAGCTAATCCAACTGCATGTTCAAATCAGGCCTAATTAGATGAGGTTGTTTAGGGACTTGTCTTGTCAAGTCTTGAAGTCTCCAAGGACAGAGATTTCACACAGCCTCTCTGCGAAACCTGTTCCCAGTATTTAATCTCTCTCTCTGACTTGTGCCTATTTCCTCTCATCCTAATTAGGAGCCCATGTGTTGCAGTGACTTGACAGAGTTATCAGGAAATCAGAATTGGGTTCTCAATTTAAACAAGCTATATTTCTTCCTTTTTGTTTAAAATCCCAGATGTACGATGCTTTCCCATGGCTTATGCACCGTCTCCCAGGGCCTCATCAGAAAGTGTTTGCATACAATGACTTCATGCACAATTTAGTTATGAAGGAGGTCCAGACTCATGAGAGACAGAACGCAGGTGATCCACAGGATCTCATTGACTTCTACCTAGCTCAAATAACAAAAGTAAGTATCTTGCTGTTCAAGTAACTGCTAAGGAATTTTTATATACATTCTTTATTTGTTTAGCACTGAAGATCTCTGTTTTGGTGGGCTGCTCAATGTTTTCAAACAATGACAATGTCTACCTGATGGATCTGCTTCATAGTCTTCTTGTGACTATACCCCACAGACCCAAGATGACCCAACTTCTACATTTAATAAAGACAATATGGTTCAGACTGTGGTTGATCTTTTGCTGGGAGGAACAGAAACAACAAGTACCACCCTTCTCTGGGCACTGCTCTATATGGTACAATACCCAGAAATACAAGGTGAGCAAAAGCATTATCAGAGAGAACCGCATTCAACATTACATCATAATGAACATCATTAAAGTGTATTAGCTCAAGCACTCACAATACATCAAAATAACCCTTAACAATGAATATGAATGGTGGTATATCAACCATTGAGATCTAGAAAATGAAAGTTTAATAAATGAAACAAACATGCTTTCCCCACCGGTTCACTAAGAAGCAACACTATCAGAAATTAGGAGTAGCCACTGTTTTATCTCACTAGAAGGGGATGGCAAAGACAGAATGACAGGCTAAAGATATTTCATACACAACGTAGTCTCTTCCTAACCTCCAAAGAGGAAAAGCTTTAAAAAGACACCTGCTCTGATGTGCATTTATAAATATTACAGAAATTACAGCTGTAATTTCAAATTTTAATCCTGTTTTTGAAACATAGAACCGTATTATCCTCATCACCAAGTGGGATGTGTCTTAAGTGAGAGATCATCTTGTGCTTTGGATACACGCACTTTCTTGATCAGTTGAAACCAACACAGCAGTCAAACCACATGCCAACGCATTTCATAGCAACATAATTTCTTTTCCAGTCCTGGACCATACTTGTACAGAAATTTGCTTGAAAAAAAGGGTTAAAAAGTTAAAATATTTTCATTTCTCTTCAGAAAAAGTTCAAAGAGAGATAGAAGCTGTTCTGGAACCCTCCCATCTCATCAGCTATGAAGACCGTAAAAAATTGCCATATACAAATGCTGTGATTCATGAGGCTTTGCGGTACAGCAATGTTACTTCTGTTGGGGTCCCTCGACAATGTGTGAGAAATACAACTTTGCTGGGTTTTCACATCAAAAAGGTACAGAGTATACCTCCATGTTTCTTAAAGCTTTGAGCTATTAATATTTAGTACGTGACATTAGCTTCTACAATTCCTAACTTTGGATAAGGAGCATGTGGTAGCATGTCACAGGCATGAAAAAGCTGAGTGCTCTGAACCAGGGCGCAGTTTATATTAGCAGACGCAAAAGAAAGCTTGGGAAAAGGCTAACAGCACAGGTAGCAAACATAAGGAAAACTGAAGTCTTTCTTTCCACTAGTCAAATATGGATCATGTCTGGGCATCAAAGCAGACCACGCGTTTTAAGGAATGATGAAGAAATGAGGTTTAATGAATACCAAGCCAGCTAACTTTCACATGTAAGGGAGCAGCCTGGAGCAACCTATGGTCACCCCTGACAAAATAAACAAACATGCACACACACACACACACCCCACATGCTTAGGATGATGGCAGCTCAGTACAGCAACAGATCCGACAGGCTCGTTGGCATGATATAAATGTCCCATAAAATTGATCTGATGGAATTGAAAGATCCAATAAAGAGTACCCAAAAAAAAAAAAAAAAAAAAAAAAAAGGAAGGTGCTATGATTAGTCTGGCAAGTATGTAAAACAATCCAAGCTCCATTCTAGCTTAGACATAAAGACACTTCAGTAGTCCTGACATATAAGATAACTTACACAAAGACAAATGTGTAATACATTACGACAAACAAAAGATAGAAGGGTTTGTCATGCCTGGATGTGCACAGAAGACCAAGCTGAATCCAAACAGTGGGCTGCAGGCACAGGATACCATACTATCTGTCAGAGACAGAAAGTAAAGAAGAAGAAAAAAAAAAAAAAAAAAAAAAAAAAAGAATCAGTCATACATGGGAAATATAATCTCTGCTTCTTCTTGCAGGGCACGCTTGTATTGCCAAATCTGCACTCCGTTGTGTATGATTCTGAGCATTGGGCAACCCCTTGGAAGTTCAACCCAAATCATTTTCTTGCTTTGGATGGCAACTTTGTGAACAAAGAGGCATTCTTACCTTTCTCAGCAGGTAACATCCTGATGTTTGAATATTCCTGTAAATTCTAAAATTTTAAAAACATACTTTTATAAAAACGTATTTGACACAAAGATTTAAACTCTGGTGTTCTACTGTAAGAGCCACAAATATTGTCTTGCATTTTATATTTTTATACATTGAAACAGAGGGTAAGTATGGCTAAGAGACATAAAGCCATCTTCTTGGTATATGTATGGTTCCTACTACACGGGTATCTGAGCTGCTTTGTCCCATATGTATTAAATCCTAGTAACACCCTCAAATCAGAAAATCAATTTATTCTCACCTTACAAATGGGGAACCCAAAGACAGAAGTAATATGATTTGTCAAAACATACAGAGAAAATCTGTGATAAAGCAGGAAAACAAACCTCAGTCTCCCAAATGCTACAACTAATAGCCTAGCAACAGGTTCTCTCGTATCTCCAGAAAACTAGCAAAATTCAGTCTTTTCAGTAGAATATTATTAGGCAACCAAAAAATTTCTAACTTTTCAAAAGCATGTTACAATGTACAACTTACCTAATTTACTATGCAAAACACAGTAATACAAAGACATGGGAGGGAGGAAAAAAAAAAAAAAGAAAGTAAAAAGCAGTATAAAACATAATTCAGAGAGCTTCTCCAGACTACCGGTTTCTCCAATAATCCAATTATGAAGAAAACCAGCACAAAACAGGAAGCTGGTGTTATTTACAGAAAATTAAAATACAAAAATTAAACAATAAAACCACTGGAAATCAGCTGAGGGTTTTTTATGTTACTGTGACAGATTATACTATTATACATTTATTGTAGATAAAAAGCAAATAGCATACTAAGTAATGTACAAAGCAGATAAATTAAACACAGTAAATCCAGGTTTTAAAACCATTTGCCCAGATTGCCTGTAAATCCTAAAGTCATATTTGCAAGCCAGGTACTTAACATCTTACCTCCTTTACTCACCAAATGTCCACCAGTTTACATGAATCCACAACTGATTTAGGCTACTATTTCAACCTAGGCATAGGAAATTTTCTAACTTGCTTTGGTTGTTATCCATTTATATAGACTGAGTATTTATATATCCTGATTATGTATCTTTTTTTTAGTCTGGAATATGTAGACATCCTAAAACACACTGTGAAAATAATGCATCAAGTTGAGTCACTGAGTCTATGAATCACTGCACACGCCTACATTTCATTCCCTTAGCTAACGTATCTGCTCCTGGACAGTGTGAGAGAGGATACTTGGCTATAAGGACCCAATATATCCTCCTTAATTTCTGTTGAAAGAAGCCTGATTACATCCTTCTACTTAGCTTCAGAATTGAATCCCACAATGCTCCAGTCCTCCCTCCTCAACCACCAAAGACAAGACTTTGAAGAATATAAAACCTTTTAAAATCTCTTAAGAGAAGCAATTCATGATTCTCACAGAACAAGAAGCAGAAATGAAAAGGAAGAATCTCATACATGCTCTAGGGAAAGGAAAAAACCCAGCACCAAACAACCAACCAAAAAACCCCCCCAAAAACCCAAACAGTCAACACAGAGGTATACAGTTTCTCCGTTAAATATATGCTTCCCCCCACATTCCCCCCGCATCTTCTGTCCTTAGAGAAGAAATAGGAAATTATTGTCTTACATTAACAGAATTTATGGAACTCAGTAGAATTTTGTTTGAAGTTCTTTTTCAGAACTCAGCTATACACAACTAACTCTTCTCCCCTTTCTTCTGCAGGGCACCGTGTATGTATGGGGGAACATATGGCACGAGCTGAACTGTTCATCTTCTTTACCAACCTGCTTCGGGCATTCAGATTCCAGCTTCCTGAGGGAGTAACAGAAATCAACCTGGAGTACATTTTGGGTGCAATACTGCAGCCACATCCATATAAACTCTGTGCTATTCCACGCTAGTCTGCAACATACTATAGTGCAGACGGACTTCAATCAGTAATTGCAGATATTTTAAAACCACATATCACTTGTATTCAAATGTAGGTAGCTCAGCATAGCAAATTAATAGAGTGTTTTTATTTAGGAGGTCTGACCTCATATAGCTGAGCTTTTTGAAATTAAAGTAAGCACACTTGCTGAAGCTCATATCTTAGGTACATACAAGTATACATTAATATGTTACCAAAAAAAAAAAAAAAAAAGTATTTTCACACTCACAGTAGCAATGAATTAGATGTAGGATTTTTAGAGAAGTGATCTGTTATCAAGCATAGTACCTTGCATATGTGCTGCCAGGTACCACACTCTTTAAACAGCACAACTGTTCCGATGCAGCAAGGATGCCTGAATAAACAATAACTTTCTTCAGTATGCTGTTACTCCTGTGTGTTCACAGAAAGTCTCTTCCTACACCCTTTTGCAGAAAGTAACTGAGTATACACACTTAGTGTTGACTCCTTTTCCTTTCACACACTCATAAAGCATTATATATTGTAGTACAACCTTCACACATGCATAAATGATTGCAGAATGGCAACTCTTATAATCATAGTCCATTTAAAAATCCTTACACTTTTTTTCTTTACTTCCTCAGCATCTGTTTCCTATTTTATCACAACTCTGGATCCAGGTGCTTTCATGAACCTTTCCTTCTTCTGTTTAGAAACACTATTATATCATCCAATAATTTCCTATTTGAAGGGAAAGAAACAACCTTTCGAGAAATTAAGAAATAAACAAAGATGCCAACACTTGTTAAAGCAGGCAAAGCAAAGATTTATTACTCATGTTGTTTTCTTTTGTGGTCTCATCATTCCACAACAGATATGGAAAGTTTTGACCACTTAAAGTTCAGCTGCAAGCATCCTAGATGCTTTGAATTTTCAAAGTGCAAGAGGAACAAGCATAAATTATGCTAGGAAGTAGTTAAAAGCAGAAGTAGAATACTACATATTTCTCAGACAAAACTAATGGAAGACTTGATTCTCCTCTCAAGTATGTCCAATTATTCCCTTCCATTTGTTGAAAACCCCAGGGTTCTAACACACTGTAAAGTTTGCTATTGCAGAATAAATGCAGACTTGACATCATTGACAGTTTTCACCTTTTTAATAAAAGACATAAAACTTTCAATGTTACTCCATTTTTAATGAGGAAAATATAGCATATAAAAAATCCTCGTTGAATAAGAAATACTTTCAAACACAAATTAAGAAAAAAAATCTCTTAAACTTCTTATTTCTTACAGTAAGGGCAGATCTTGCATAAAACATCTTAGAGACTTACAAAAGCAGTCTGACATGATAGTTCATAAACAAAAGTTTTCAAGTCATCTTTTTTTCCCTTTGTGTTGCTCATTAAAGAAAAACTCAAAAAATCTTTCTTTTCAACCCACCATTTGCATGGTTCAACAAAGGGTTCATGATAAAGTGCTCAGCAGCATGACTGGCAGTGTAGGATACAAACTTTGACTTTCTCTGCTCCAGTGTATTTTGATGATTCTTGAGGTATGTCCTACCTGAAAAAAAAAAGACTCCAGTTTCTTTCTTCTCTGTTTGCCCCTTTGGGTCTCCCAAAGTTATTCTGTAAGCTTGACTTTTTTTTCCCCCCCAAAATATTATTTAATTATGCACATACGTTTTCTGGTTTTCTTCTAAAACTGTAGCTTGGGTTAAAACATGCACACATTCTTCACCTGTATTTTTGAAGAACTGAGGTACATTATGAAGATTTTCTGTACAATGCTGGTTCTAAGAAACATGGGAAGAACAAATATTCAGAGTGTACATGATTAAGGAGGTATTTTTACAAAGAAGTCGTCGTAGGCTTGACAGTTGGTACCAGTGAAAAACAGGTTGGCTAAGAGTATTTTCTTGTTACTCCATTTAAAACTGAAAACAGCAAGAGGTGAGGTATTCCCCGGCTTTCTGATGTTTCTTGAAATGACAGTGTGAGAGTTCCAGATTACCTTTTCATCACAGTTGTAAAAGAGATCTGTAAGAAAATGCATATCTGATCAAGCAAAACACAATACCAAAACATTAAACAGGTGGCAATAATTTGATCAGAACAGCTTGTACACCAAGAAGGATTATAACAGTAGGATGCTATATGGGCTGGCTGTAAGGAAACAAATAAAAAAGTCTAAACTCTAGTGTAGTGAAAGCTAACCTTTGGATTGCCTGTTTGCACTTCGTCTCTTTTTGCTGTGTCTCTTAAGTCTTTACAACATTATAGTATCATTAGAATTTTTAAATCTCAATACATAGGATCCCAAATTAATAACAAAGCCAATCAGATGGAGGAAGGATACAATATATAATTAAAGCTAGCAGATCTATGGCGACACCAAGAATGAATACATCAAAATACATCCAAATGCATAGAAAGGTGTTTACACTCTTAAAAGCAAATGTAAAAGTCAAGTCACCTACTCATCAGTAACAAGCCAGTTTCTCACAGACATGAGGTAGGTGACTGGGGAATGATTTGAGGGATTAAAGAATGACTTTACAAAATAGCCATACAGAAGCTTCTGTATATCTGAGTGGTGTGAAAAGTCAGACTGTTAGCTGCTAACATGCTACTTTTCTGGCTGAGAAACAAAAACCCAAACTGCTTTTCTGATTATCAGTTTGCAGCAAGTAAATGAGAGCATTCCACTAGTCCAGTCCACTAGTCCATGACTCTCTGCAACACCTTTAAAACAACTGAAATTAAAAACATATCACTTACTTCTTGCAATACTTGTCCAAGCGTCTCCCGGCTGTGAATGCGCTTCCTGTTGAAAACCACAACCACACTTATTTTTGCACAAAGCACTGGGGGGAACTTTTAAACTCAATCCCACTTCAAAAGGAGAAGACTGTTATGCTAAGCTTTATTCTACATCCTTATGTAATCTCAATGCAATTTTATGAACTCTTAATGCAATCTTGTGGAATCTACAAAGTCTGATTCAGACCTGTTACTACTCTCATCAGGAGGAACTACCTGTAATAAGACCTGCAACAGACTGCAGCTTCTCAAAAAACCTTGTTTATTAAAAAGCTTCGTAAAATTTCAGCATAAATCCTAGCAACTGAATATCAGCTATGTCCAGATACTATAGTGCCATCTTCTCCAGCGCTAGACATCTATATCTGGACATAGCTGATATTCAGTTGCTATAGTGCCATCTTCTCCAGCGCTAGACATCTACTATTCAGTAATTGATGCAAGAAGACTACAAATACTTTGTTTTACTCTTTCTTCCAGCATAGTCAAAGCAGTAAGCAGTGCTTGCAAACATAACAGCAATACAAAGACTTTAAAAAAATATATATATTATTTTCTATCAGAAGTGAGATCATGTCACTACAGCTGTTGTTTCTAAACATCCTGTAATGCATGCACTAAGAATACTAGAATTGCAAATAGAAGGCAACATATTTTTACCTGTCTATTTTGGTTGCTATGACCACTGTAAAATTGCCTTCTGTATTGGGCAAGTATGTAGAAGGTATAATTACGTAATTTCCTGCAGGAAGCCTGCAAAGTTGGCTTACTTCCTGCGAATAGCAGTGAGGTACGCAGCTAACCAGCGGCTCCAAGTGTAAAAAAGAGGAAGTATGTGGCTTCCAGCTGCTGTTAGGCACCTGCAAAAAAAGAATGAAAACATACCTATCTTTTCATATATTTCAGGCCTCACAAAGTTAAATTCCTAGTATACCATAATATAGTATGTTCCGGATCTATTCCACCCCAAATACTTGCTTCTGTACAGAGCTATATGATAGGGACAGGAAGGCTTCCAAAAAACCCAAATGGCAGTATTAAGTATAGACAAATCATTCCTACCATGTTTGTAGACAATTTATACCAACCCACTACCCACACAGCTCAAAAGCTTTTTCTATTGTCTAATCTCACTCTTCCTCACTGCAGCCTAAAGCACTTGTTTTTCTACTCATGGAAATGGTCAACAGACTACGTCCTTCAACTTTCTAGTGGCCATTGCTGTACTAAAAATTCATATTAGACTTCTCCTCAGTCTCCTATAATCATGAAAAATGCCATTCTTCCAATTTTTCTTCACATATTGTATATTTGAAGCTATATGCTTAGCTAGCACTCCTAATGCTCAACTTCAGACTCTCCATTTAAGCAACACTTCTTTTTGAAGCACGTTTTCTGAAAATAAAGCTAGCTTCCCCTGCAAAATAGCCACCTAACCTGAAGTTTCCAATCCTGCATTTATGCAATTGATCACTGGCACATAGATGCAGAACCAGTAATTTGTCCAAATAGTATCTTGTTTTGTTTCAGATCATCTGTTCAACATATCTGACCTTTTGAATTCTAATCCTTGTCTGCACATCCAACACCACAAGTAAATGATTATTAGAGATGAAAAAAAAAGTTTTCATGATCAGTTATCAAAGAGTCTGGTCCTCGATCATTAAGACACTGAGAATTCTTTGCAAATCCTCGAAAGAGATCATAATTTCTAAAACTAATTTAGGACATTGGAAGTATTTAGTGGAACAAATTATCTGGTTATTATGCTACCCAGCGTGTAGTTACTCTGTTTCTCTCACAGGCATTACTTCACAAGACCAGCCTGTGTTTCTCATAGAAGCAGCACATCCCTTGCCAAGTGCAAGGAGCACTGCACTAACCGACAGGCTTACCTTCACACTTGGCAAATAAGCAATCAAATTGACCAGAAGAAATCTTACCTGGAAAATATGGAAACCTATTGGACGACACTTGCTATCTTGGCAGTGCTGACGGAGGGTAACTTTCACACTGCTTTTTCCTGGTCCTGCAGGAATGGAGAGGGGAAAGCAGGGATTGATATGGAAGGAGGGGAAGTTCCTGCTACCTCCAGCACTTTGCCCATTTTTCCAGCATCCATGCAGCTGCACTATCTCCCATTCACCTGCTGGGAGTTCTTCACAGAGGGCAGCATCTGCAGGTGGTGGTTTTAGCTCACTATCAAATGTAAGAGAGAAAAGAAACTAAATGTATAAAATCTGTATGATTTCACAAAATCTAGAACACCCACTCACAAAAATGAGCTAGCATTACATAAACTTACATAAACACAACTCCTCCAAACTTTCAGCACAAAGAAAAAGAGAACTGTACAATTCACATCCTTAGGTAATTCACAGAGCTCCACAAGAACAACACAGCACATAAAAACCATGCACTAAAACCAGGTAAGATTTTTGAACATCCATGAAGTAATGCAGCTGACACGTTCTTCCTCAATACTCTTGTATCACTTTCAAATAGGACAAATGGCACAACTGACAGCAACTTCTGGAGCATCTCAGTAAGTCCAAAGCATGCATTTCCTTATTTTGTGTATTCACTATGTCTTTAACCAGAGGAAACTACCATTTTACCTCTGACTTTACCTCTAACATTACCACTGTAATGTTAACCTGTATTTCGATCCTAGTCCGGAAGTGCTTTTCACAGCCATATGAACAATTTGGTATATTAGCAGTTGTGCAGTGTTTGAAATTGTATTTCAATGTAACATCTCCCTTTATTTCCAATTTTCCAGTTGAGAACATACAACAGCTGTTATGTTATCGTGTGATTGCCCATTCTAGACACATATCCAGGCTGACACCTCTGTTTCAGTCTGAGGAACTATTATACTTAACAGCAATACTAGAAATTTTAACCCATCGTTGAAAGTGCAACATGCTGTACAGATGAGATATGCCCAGAAACCAAATACATTGCCAGTAAGAAGTACGCAACTTGCACCCATACAGCAAAATTAGCCTCATAATTTTGCAGACCTTTATTTGGTCTAAAACTTGATGCCATCTTCCTTCCAAATTCCACAAGAGTAAATGATTAATGCATGTTCTGGCTTTGTAGCGTGATTTGCCAGCTTCTCTCCAAGGAGATAGGAGTTGATAGTGTACTAACAGAAAATAAAAAAATTTTAACAGCTTTTAAACATGTTGCCAACAGTACGTTTTGCCTCTGCGTATAACTTACTTGGTGCAAGCTGTTAGACAACCTCAGATTTTTTCAGGTTTATTGAAAGAAGGTACAACTTTGCTGACTCCACACAAGTACTCATCATCGTGTCTTCTTAAGTATTTATTTCAAAACTATGGTCACCAACACAGAATTGGTCACAAATAATTGACTTTAAAGTGTTGAGATAGCTATGTAGTCTGCTACAGTTAAAAAATTAAAAATCATCAGAAGCTACAAAACTGATATTCCTGATATTTTCTATTGGATAAGCATTGTTAAACAGAAGGAAAAGATTGTTCCAAGCCTACTAGAAAAGTCTATTTTGTGTCACAAGTTATGAGGAAAGATCAGCTATAGCATAATATACAGTGATCCTTCCAAGAATTTTATCATAATGCTGGTAAACTTCTTGAGGCCTTCACAATTAAGAAGTTCAGCTCTATTGTCACTGTTGAATGCTTTAATTCAAAAGCAATTCTTCGTTCAGCTAAAGAAGACAGCATAAACGTCAGTGCTATTTTCCAGACCTGTCCTGAAAAGATGAACCATGAGCACTATGTCATCCGAGTCCACTGCTGACACTCCATTTGCATTTGAAGCTGTATTGCTCACTAGGAACAATGTCATACATCAGGCAACCTGTTAGTATGGGTTTTCCAGCATACACAATTAATACACTGCTCTCCTTTTCTGTCACTGATTGCAATAACAACAGCTTCTTTTAGCTTCTGTCGTACATCTTTGTTTCTTCTGTACGTGAAGAAAGAACTTCCATATATTGAGAAACATGTTCTGCAGAAACCTATTCAGTTCTTTTACAAAACACGCACTTTCTCAAAACACTAGGCTGCAGTTTAGAGTCACGATGCTACTCGTCTGACTACTTCTGACTGGTATTGTAACAAGAGGTAGTAGCAGCTTCGTGAAAAAAAACAAGGAGATAGAACACTGCTTACATGAATTCAAAGACAAAACAACACTGTTACTTGGCACTCCACACAACTCTTCAAAACACTTTTAGCATTTACATTTAGTGCTATACTTCATATATTTGGTTATGTCAATGACTAGAAGAAATTTTCTGTTTCATTTTAAACCTACCTGAGAGAGATCCTTCCCGTTGAAAATACACGAAGCAAGAAATTCCCTACTGCATCTTTCAGAAAAGTGCTGGGAACAACAAGATAAAACCCGGGCGAAAGGTCACAGCATACATGCACTTCTCTATCATAGGAATGGCAGACAGTACCTACAACTGGAGGAGCAGAGAGGGTCTTTGGAAGGTTAAATCGTTTCTTCTCCACCTAAAATAGATGCATAATGACGCACAGTGTTTTAGGAAAAATGAGAAGTTTTCAATAAAACAGAAATTATCAAATATTGTTTACAACATTTTTAAACATGTATACATTTACAAAAGGAAACAAGTAAGGAGGAGACTATCAACAGATAAGCTGAACATCAAAGAGGAGTAGGAAGAGTTAATATTCAGGAGGAGTAAATTTAGGAATAGTCATCAAATACTCAGCCTGAAATGTCATGCGCTAGTTTGGAACAGTCCCGAAAGTTCTACTTGGTGCTCAATTATAAGAGGAAAGTACTAATTCATTAATAGTTTGTACAGGCAGTAACTGCACTGAGATAAACAGGATCATCCTAATGTAAATCAGAAATATAAAATGCGTGAACAGTTGAATCATATCACTGCCATAGGAAACTAATGATTTTACTCTGATGTTTCAGTAATGCTTTAAAACTTCTATTTGCAAAAAGAAAAACGTCACTGCCGTATTACCTTCCAGACATGCAATCCCACAGCCTGATAATTCTTCCCCTGTATGCCTTCAGTCAAAGATAGATTTTCCTCTGCTAAGCGAGTCAGATTTTTAATTCTTCCGGCCCAGTCAGCGCTGTATTCCCTATGTTTCTGCAGCAGAGCAATGCACACCTCGCTCTTTTCACAGACTCTCAGCCAGAACTTGGGGTTGGTAGGGAAGCTGCTGTTGTTACGGCAGCCACCTGCAGACTGTCCTCTCACCCAGGATCCAAAAAGATTCTGCGAGTGATACAGCACTTTCTCTAACAAAATAAGAAAGCCGTGGTGCAGATTTTAGACACTAGAGGCTACTTAATTTTATACAACAGATATATGGCAGAGATCCCCCAGCCCAAGAAAACATGCTGGTTTAGCCCTGACGCTTTCTCCAAGCAGATATTCATGACCAAGATTTTGAGAGGCATGAAGATAAATGCCACAACTGGTAAGGGCAGATTGATGACATGAATTTTACAAGACACTGTTTCCAGAAATCTGAAGTTTATCTCCCAAAAAAAAAAAAAAAAAAACACACCACCAAAAAAAAAACCCACAAGGCTGTCCAGAACAACAGCCTTCTAGATTGACTGATTAGTGTTCTCTAACAATTAGCAAGTAACTAGATGTCAGAGAAATATCGAAGATTCCTCTAAAGATCTTCAATTTCCTCTTGTCCCTCTATTCTTCCCAGTAGAGACAGAAAAGGTGTATGGGTCTAAAGGAGAGGGAATGACTGAGAAAGAGTGGTCTAGTTGCAACCATTTGCGATTCAAATCAGTCTTTCCAACTGACATAACATTATTTGTATGAGAAGACATTTTCTCATTCCACACCTGTGTAGAGGCTCTGAAGTTGTCCTTCCTCATTGACTGGAAAGCCCATGGTAATCTCATCAAATTCCCTGAAAAATTCCTCTTCATCAACCCAGAATTCTCCCTCCTGGATCTGTGAGAGCAGTTCTGAGGCAACTACTGGATCTAGCTGGCTCCATCCTTGACCACTGCACATAAGACAAAAGTCAACGTTTAGTTCTTTGCCCAATAAAGTTCCATAACAATGTTCTACCAAATATCCTATGGAGCAGGACAATAAGAAGAGGTTTCTTCATTTTATTGTCAAATACCTGCATTGAGAATTTCTGTATACATGTTGCTAGTCAGCGAGTGGGGTAACAGAAAGTATGAATCGCAACATACCAAAGAAAAATTAGAAACAACTTAACACTAGAAAGGATACAGCAGCAGACTTTTAGGTGAAATAGTTACTTTGCTTACTGCAAACAGTACAGTCCCAAGTGTGAGAGCAAAACAAAGATTTTAACAGCTGTTAAAAATAGCAACAAAGAAAACCCCACAAGCTGCAGAGTGACTGTTCAGAAAGAATTTTAATGCTGTATAGAGAATATCAAAAAACACTCTTGGTATGAAGCAGCTAGTTATCCCCATGAATACACTAAGTCATGATAAACCAAGAATTTAAACACCTCATTATTTAGGCCCCATTAAAAGCCAGTACTTTCAACATTTTTGATTGTTTCACTAACAACAAAGAAGAGTTCTGCGCTTGAATAAAACAGGGCTCTAAGGCCACACAGTGAAATGCTATCTTGCAACTACATCGCAACTTATTGATTGGCAAAGAAACTGCAAGAGACCAAGTTTACAACCAAAAATCTGCCAAAAGAAAAAAAAGATCTACTTAAGTCTCAATTAATCTGATTAAGCTATCTTTTTAACTCGGAGGGGAAAAAACCACCAAAACTATTTCTCTAAAATGTTTATTAACACGATGATATTGTTACCATATTTTAATGCTGAAAGCTTGCTCCTTGGGTCAAGAATTGCATGTTCTTTTGTACAGTCTGAATATGCTAACACTTTTCAAAATAAGGTAGTAGGGTCTTCCCTTTCATTCTTGTTATTTTGTTATATGAACTCCTAAACATATTTCTGCATTTTCTTTAAAACAGATCTCCTCTTTGTAGCTACTTGATTCCAGCTTCTCCTACTCATATTGATCTAAAGAAATGAGAGCACAAAAGCATCTTTCCTTCCGCTATATTTTGTTTGTCCTTTGCTTGTCTTCTGCAACTGAGACAAGATCAAATGAGAAGGGCAGAGTAAAGCCGAGTGACTACTTACAAGTCACAAACACCTTACGAGCAAAGATACTTAGATCAACTGTAGAACAAAAAAATCCCCACAAAAATCAGAGACAGAAAACAAACCAACATCTTAAGCCTATCTCTATGAAAAGATGCAATGCTTTGATAAACCAAAAAAATATTCGTTATTAAAAAAATTTAGATACAAAACTAATAGATCAAAATAACTAGCCTTAGAACCAACGAGCTACATGAACTACTGAACTCTTTAAAGGACTGCATACAAACCGACATCTCTCTCCTCAGCCATAGCCTATCAGCAATATTCGCCTTTGCAATACATAGATATGCTTTGTGCTTCAGAACTTTCACAAATGATTTTCCAAGTGAAAATAAACCTACTCACCCCTCACACCAGGGACCTCTCCAGCACCGCCTCCCCCAAGGATTTCGTATGCGTAATAGGAAGATTTCCTTGCCTGACACTTCAGACAGACTCAACATGTCTATCACAATAAATGCATGAAATTCCCCTAGTTCACTTGCACCTGAATAGGAAAAAAAAAAAAAGCATTTGAAAGCAGACAAAAAAAATCCTCTGTATTTTACAACTAATGACATTAAACTACCCTGTGAAAGAAGGCAATTTTGAGATAAAAGGAAGTTATTTTTAAATCAGTATAAAACCAGCATAAAAATCCCCAAACAGTTCATTTTAGTTGTGACTACATATAAATAAAAGTAAATAAAATTTTAAAGTGTATTAACTCACTACTTTATCTCAAACATGTACAAATTCTCAGTGCTGAAATTCATTGGGATTTTTAAGCTGTTTTATTTTTGGGGGGGTTGAGCGTATGTGTTTGTTTTTGATAACTGACAATAGCGGTACCCAATATAAAAAACACGCCTTGAAAGCACCCTCCATCCTGAACCCATCATCTTTAAACCTTTATTTATCCAAAGTTATGATAAAATTGCACCATGAAACTGTTACGGTAGTAGAATCAGCTCTATGCATTTTCTGGCTGCCTTGTGCTCTGAACCCTGTTAAATAGAGACATTTACTTTAAAAATGTCTAGAACCTTACTATTACCTTGTCTGGAATTGAGGACTGAGCAGCTTATTACACACTGTTCCTTCAAATTAATCAATCTTCTAAACACTGCTTTCTCCAAAACCATGCCAGTCTTCTCTTTCTCCAGGTTTCTTCCAGGGCCTTTCAGGGTCCATCTTTCAGCAATTCCTCCAGTCAGGTCAACCAAAGCATCAGCCACCTGTCCTGCCCACAACTGTTCATAAGATCCATGCACTCTGTTAAAAAAAAAAAAGTTTCTACAAACATCAGAACTAAAGAAACATGGTTCTTACATATTTTCAACCCAACCCTGTATCACAATCATGACTGCACCCTACCTCATATCCCCAGGTAGGCAAGAGAAGGCACATACTATTTTATTTATATAGAATACATCTAAAGAATATGCAAGCCATCAGACATTCCACTGTTTGATGGGAAGCTTATTACAATTCACTCCATCCTGTATAGAAACAGCTCTAGTCTACTACTAGTCATTTGTACCTTTTTGTCTGTGCACTAGATAGTCTTCCGTGATATGCTAACTGCATTCTTTATTAACAATAACATTTCTTCCTCTTCTTCAATTATTTTTTGTTCACTCTGCACAAACAACCAGAGTAACGGTTCCTTCAACAGTTTAAGTAAACCAAGAGACTACCCTACCTGATGCAGTGGACGCAAAAGATAGCAAAGAAATCAAGACTATAATAGAATTATAAGAAAAGATAGAACAGTAAGACTCTACAGAAAGCAAAGAATATCTTTCAAACCTACAGATAAGCTTTAACATGCCATTGCTGCTTCATAACTTCTGTTCAACATATCTGCAGTCAAATTACTTCACACTTAAAAGTCTTTTTCTGCCCTCTGCTGGCAACCACACAATCTTTCGTCTGAGTTCTTTTGGACATTTGATGCCTATCTTACCAGTGCATTTTGTCTCCAAATTATTTTGCCCATCTGGACAGTATTTTGATGGATGTGTCACAAAACATCAAATAGCTGCATTTTCAAACACATTAACAATACAGTTGTTTCTTTTCAAAATAATAAACTATCAAATTAAGCAAAAAGCAGCAGTGAAACTCACAACCAGAGTCTCAAATAGCATAAACTTATTAAATGTTGTTGCTTTCCATGAAAATATTTGCATGCTTTTTGCTTTTCATTGAGCTCTCAGCTGCCCTCAAATGCTGCACCAGTAAAATATTTGTCTTTAATAATTAGATGACCAATGGATAGTGACTTAATGAACATCATTTAAATCCTGATAATTCATTACAGCTCTTACTTTTCATCATAATTCTCTCCCTATCTTAACTCATACACAACTAGAAACACACCTTATAGACCTACAATTTAAAGGGCGACTTCTGCACAACCCAGCATGGGAAAGCTAGCAGCCGCCGTACTTGAGATTGAATAATATACAGATCTATGCCCAAAGCAGTCAGATAAAATAAGCAAGCAGAAGGTATACAAGTGTTGTACCTCCGTTTACTTCCCTCAATAACAGTGTTTACATACTTTGCATAAGCTTTTTCCAACAGGGGAAGCCAAAACAAATCCTCTGTCTGACACTGGGAAAAGCAGAGTTTACCACCAAGGCAAGGTAAACGATCATCAATGGTCACTTCCACCCAGTGTCCAAACTGCCAGACTCGACAAGTGAAACAGCCTTGATAGGACTCATCTGTCCAGCTGGGCTGACCTGGAGGGATTACCTACATGACAAAAGCAAAAAATCAAAACAAATACTTTTTTTTTTTTTTAACAAAACCAATTTAAAATATGCTGAATATTAACTGTAATAATCACAGAAAAAAAAATCACAACAAAACCAGTGAAATTAAGCATAACAAAACCGATAGTCAGTTTTGAGGCCTGACATTCAAGAGCAACATACAAATGTAAATTAGGTGAAGAAAACTTCTGATATATGGAAAAGAAACTTCTCTATACCTTATTCAGTAGGTATTTACTCTTCTGCAAAGCTACACAGGCACACAGGAACCAACAATCTCCCAAAATTCCTTGTTTCACTTGCACATCCTGCGGATTGTTTGAAAATAACCGAGGAGTAGAACAAATGTCCTGAAATTAAAAAAGGGGGAGTTAAAGCCAAAACCTGCAATATAGTCTAAGGAATTCTGTGTTTCAGGGAACAGGAGGACTCTAGAGACCTCTCACAAAATAAGGGAGTTTTTACCTCTAGAACAGTTCCTCTTCAGACACAGCCTAAGCAAGCAATAACAAATTACTGCCTTGTGGCTATTTTGCAGGTACTTTATGAGAGGCCAATCTAGCTCCCACACTTGTGTAGTAAAATCCATATCACCAACAGGTGCAACCTTAGCAGAGGCACCAATAAGCAAAAGACAACATAATTCACCAGCTCCTTCCTAGACATATGATCAAGTGTGATAGAACTGATGCCAAGCACATTGCACTGCACATTACAAGTTACAAAAATCTCCAAATTAGCATAAGAGAAAAACCTTCCCTAGGGCAAACAGAAATAGATTACATGGTAGAGAAAGAGGTAGTTTCAGATACAAAGTCCTGAACACTTCATTGGATCTGAAAGTGAGTTTTTAAAATGGTTCTTCTCTCACCTGTAAACACTGCAAGAGATGGAAATTAACTGATCAGCCCTCAGCAGCAATCAGGTGTAAGGTAGAAAAGTAGAAAGTTGCACACTGGGCTCCGTGAAGTCATTTGTTTATCAATTCTATCTGATAATCAGTAGCTCCATCACTGTTCTACAACCATCCCCAGATGAAGGGGAAAAAACCAATACCACTAAAAACCAGCATACTTTTGCTCTCCATTACATTTTTATAGCCTTTTATCCCCCCTCCACACAAAGGCATTATCATAAATACTTCACTTTAAATTAACGTACTGCAGATATGCATTCTAAACTTTTAAGCCATCACGCAGCTTGCTCTGAAACCCAGCTGTAAGGTTAAAAGCAATACAAGTCATACAACAAGCCTTAAAAAAAGTTTTCTTTCTTGTTATTGAAAAAATCAACAACTGCAAAAAAAAAAAAAAAAAAGCCAAATCCTTCTGGAAAGCTCTAAAATCCAGTTATTTGTTTTCAAGATTTATGCAATATACTGAAAAAATTGGGAATAATATGATGGTATTTTTTAACTTGGTATACATATTATTTGACTAATGAAATATATTTATGATAAAATATCTGAATTTCTACTAGCCAAGAAATGTGAAAGTTCTACATCAGAATTTAAATCAAACCTACAAACAAGCACCCAGATTTAACTGTAACATATATATTGTTAACACTGACATATGTTGGTTTTATCACTTCTGTATTTCTAAACACTTAAAACACCCAGAAGCAGTCATTCAGTGCTAAATATCATTTACTACCTTAAAGTCCAGTTGTACTAAAATCACAGGCTTTTACATCTTAAAACTCACCTTAGGTCTCAGCCAAGATATCTGGCCTCTGAATTGAGCAAGCGGGGTACAATAATCAAAAAATATAGAGGTATCACTGGCTGGAAACGTGGGGTCTGCATAAAGGTCTCTTTTCAATATTAGTTGCTTTTTCTCTCCCAGCATTTTCAACACAATCCTAAGTAGCTTTGCCGGCTATTTCCACGACTTTATATTGCCAAGCACCAACCTAGAATGCAAACTGAGCATTACTTGGGAACCATAACTGAGAAACAAATAAGCAGGACAAATTTATTTAGGAACAGAAAGCTTCTCACCCTTTCCACGGAGCACCTTGACCCACGCCATTGCTGGCTTCTTTCGGCACCTGATACCACCCTAGAGAGCCTCCGCTCTGCTGGAAAAGAGAAAGGAGGTGTCAGAGGGTCCTGGGTACAGTCCCTCCACGCAATAGGCCCCAAAAGGAGACCTACACCCAGGAGCCCACTTAGATCCCTTCCCCTCCCTCCACAGCAGCACACCACCACCCCCCC